CAGGCCATCAACCAATCTCTCCCCCTCTCTCTCTCTCTCTCTCTCTCTCCCTCTCTCTCTCTCTCTCTCTCTCTCTTTCTCTCTATCTCTAGAGTTTAGCATCTCTAGAGGTTAGCACTTCTAGAGTTTAGCATGACTTGAGATCCAGCAGCTGTTGCATTTAGGCCGCATGGCTCAGCATGTCCTGCTTCCACGAGCATTGTCTTTTGTAGGTCCCTGGACATTACCATGTTCTGCTTTGGCCTTGATACTTGATGATATAATTGCAATCCATACTTTCTGTAGTCGTGACTGCTATTACTGCTGTTTTCTGCTTTCGCCGTGCTAAGTACTGCTAGCAGCACGGAGGCGATTCTATGACGTCGTCACGGAAAGTTGACTACTCAGTACTGTACGACGTGCTGTTCTCGCACGTCAACTTGCTGCCTATGGCCACACATAGAAGCGCCGATCGGTTGGTCAATGCACGGCGGAGAAGTTCATCTTTCGCTTATCATTTGTTTATCCACTGTTGTGGTGTGGTTTCTGTTTTCGGTTGCGCTTCACCTCAAGACCAGGTGTTTCGTTTGCTGCGCCTTGGCACCCGCGCAGAGTCCAGGCATTGAATTCCGGGTGTGGGGCTCCTCGGCAGGCTTCTCCAGATCTTTGTCCGAAAAGTGTTACATAGGGGCCTGAAAAGTCCGACGCATCCTTCCTGCATGAGTTCCACATATTTACGAGGGATTAGACCCCTACCAAACCCTGGTCTCCGAGTTCTTCAAACATCTTTAAGCCGTCCAGTTGTGCGCTCGTTTCGATGATGGCGCTAGTTATTGTTGCTTCAGTATTCCTTGGTCCTTGTTGGACACAATTTTACATNNTTTGTTACAATAGAACCCAATAAGGATAAAAAAAGATCATTTGTAATATAGCCCCAACAGGGAACCAGATTCAGTCGTGAGCTCAGATATCTTCTTTACAGGCCTCAATCTCCTGAGTTAGATCCCGACCCGCTCCGTAGGACAGCATGAAGCGGCTGGCTTCTTTAAAGGGGCCACGGGTGTCACAGACTCCTAGAACCATGAACAGCAAAGAAGATCTCTAGGGTTTAGGGCTGGTTCGGCTCGGATGGAAGCAGAAATCGCAGGATTAGCAGGATTACGAGGTTGCTGCTACTGGCCATAAATGGGCCAACCCCAAAACCGGCAAGAAGATCAGGTTATGATACCGTACACAGTATAGGTTTTAGTTAAATCCTAGACCCTAAACCCTACCCTAAACCCTAAACCCTAACCCCTAAACACCCTAAACCCTAAACCCTAAGCCCCAAGGCATTAGGCTTGGCTTTTCCTCTGGCAGTCCACCGACTGCGCCGGTCCATCGTCTCCATGGAGACGTCTTCCAATCTCTGCTGGAGGCCTGAACCTGTGTGCATCCATGGGTTTCTTGCGCCCATTCGATCAGGGTTTGTTTTGGGGTTTAGGGATTTAGGAGTTTAGGGTTTTGGGGTTCGGGCGTTTAGGGGTTTAGGGTTTAAGGGGTTTTCTGAGCCCTCATTTGGTTCCCAGCGGCTGGATGCAACCCTAAACCCTAAACCCTAAATCCCTCCTGCCCTACCTCTCCCTGCAAGTCACCCCCCTGTTGTTGGCTCTGATGAACCCTCGCCTGATCTCGACACTGACTGTCTTGGAAGCGATCGTGAGTTGGGAGCTGATGGCTGTGTAGTCGAGACTGCTGAGGGGGGGGGGGAGGCATCTGATCAGGATGATGAGAGGTCCGATGAGATGGTCTTGACTGTTCATGTTAGAGAACGCAGCAGAAGCCGTGATTTCTGAGAAGCATCCATTCTTCTTGATGTCATTGAGGCGTAGTTCGAGTGTGTCCCCCTTTTCAGTGCAAGCCTGCACCAGGCAGGTCCGACGGTGGCGGAGTGAAAGGGACCATTGCACTTTAAAAAAAGGGTTAGGAGAGCGACAAAGACCAGCCGAACCAGAGTGGCCCTGCTTATCGTTGCCACGGTAACATCGGCAACTTGGGGTTTAGGGATTTAGGGTTTAGGGTTTACGGTTTACGGTTGAGGGATCCATGCCCAGGGGACATGTGCGGATATCTCCGGTTTCAAAAAGAGTCTAGGGATCAACACGAAGTAGAAGTTCAGTTAGATTATAGCACGGCGCCAGGGAAAGAAATCAAAAGTGCTCCTACAAACAGCGTGGTATCAACGATGGCTGTTTGTTCAGATCTGCACGGCCAGTGTGAAGCCTCGACAGCAACGGGAAATCTCCCAGTCGCACATCTTCTTAGGGCTTAGGGTTTAGGGTTTATAAATCCTGAAACCCTAAACCCTTCAAAACAACGAAGGGTTTATAGGGTTTATAAATCCTGAAACCCCAATGGCTTCGAACCCTGGACAAGCCTCGCCTGCCAGCGGCCGAGTCGCGAGAGTCCAAACAACCTGTCAGCTCTGAGCCGAATCACCCTAAACCCTAAACCCCTAAGTTTAAGCCCTAAGCCCCTTATAAACCCTAAGGCCCTTGAACCCCAAACCCCTTATAAACCCTAAATCCTAAACTGCTTTTGGATTCAATGCTTTGGCGCTAGGCTGCCTGTGGAGCTTGACAGTGCTTTGGGGACCTTGGGATTCTGGCTTTAGTGCTTTAGGGTTTCAGGGTTTAGGTTCATAGGGCTTAAGGACTAGGGTCATAAGGTCATAGGGTTTCTGGGTTTTTGTAATGTATGTTTTGTGATGGGTTCATGTGGGGTTGTTGGTAGTGGTGTGGTTACAGTACTGCCACTTGGCGCATGCACGAGCCGCAGGTCCTCAAAGGCTCGTGGAGAAAGTCGCGGCCTCTGTCTTGGGAGGACGGAGCGAGAGCAGTTTGAGTTTCGGGGCTTGCTTGGGGTAGATTACGGGCCGTACATAAGTAATACGAACAATAACTTTAACAAGAGTAAAAAAGGAAATACATGGAATAAGGCAGTGGGGCAGTGGGGAGGGTATACCGCAGATCATTATTTCAAGTATATTTCATTTTTACTAAGGGGTGTTTGTGCCGCCGGATGCGAAGACACCAGTCCAAATTCTTGGGTCTGAGTTTCTGGGTTTCGTCGGATTTGGTGGGTTTCGGGGCTTATAAGGGCTTTTAAGGGTGCAGGGCCCACCGTAGCTCTAGAAACCCTATAGGCTGCATAGGGCGTTGCGGTGTGTTGTTACTGTCATTATCAACTATTGTTGGTATGATTATGGGTACGGTTATTGGTAGCAGTTGCGGTGCCAGTAGCAGTAGCAGTGTTTGTGGTTAGAACGGTTAGGACAGTAGGACATTTTTGGGTAGGTATGTTCAAGTTTCGGGTGTAATCCTGGGAAACCGCAACCGCACTTCTTGCTCGAGGACGTGGCTGAGGAGAGCAGCGTGGTTGTGGCTCAGAAGGTTCAGATTGATCCTCGACAGCCGAAAAGCAGGGTTTAGTTTTTTGTTTTTTTTTTAGTTTTGTTTTGTTTTTTTTTGGGGGGGTGGGGAATCGTCAAGTCTTTATCAGAGACGTTGCTGTGCATTTTCTGTCATGTCGCGGTTGTTTGGCCGGGACTGCATTTGTAGCCCAGGACATGTTTGCTACCGACATCCTCATGCTGCGTCCGGATCGTCATCCGCGCCATCCGACAACCATCTTGCCGATACAGTGCTGCGCCTGCATATGGGGCCCTAAACCCTGGACCCTACAGGGCTGTGTATCGTGTCTGATTTAGCAGATGTACAATGCAAACAAGTTCATGGGCTGGTGGGCAGGCCAGTTCCGGGTTCTAGCGCCAAAATTGCCGGCGAAAGCCTAGACCAGCGGACGCGACGAAGTGATGGACCAAAGGCATTAATATTTTGACAAGATGACGTGAAGGTGAGAGAAGTGTAGAAGCTTGATACTGCACATAAGATTTTTTAGGGTTCCTTATATACCATAATCAACATACTATAAACTATCGTATACTGATGAATTGATGGCTCCTCGCAGACTTGCCTGCCCTGACTTGCTCTCTGCCGTTTCCGATGACTACAGGAAGCCCCAACTTCGTACAAAAACCTGCGCCGGGTTTCCAAATGGCTTTGAGGCATGCACCCAAAATTTTACTATAGTATAAGAATACAGTAGAACATAGTAGCCGGCCTTCCTGCTTTGACACTCCAAATACGAACTCCCCACCGTTCCAGGAGCCGCGATGCACATTCACCCAGTGGGACACCCAAATTCCACGTGCCAGCCTGGAGGCTCTCCGTGAAACGCCATCGCCCTGCTGCCCGCAAAGCAAGCTTGGGATATGCAGGTCGAGAAAATGTGCAGCAGTGGACGAGCCAAGACTTGTGAAATGCCAGTAGTATTGCATAGCTTCGGCCAGAACATGATTTCTAGAATGACTGCCAGCATACAAACTGGGTCCCAGACAGCAATCATGGATCTTCAGATGGTCCTGGTTCGTGGAACCCAGCTCTGACTGCCGACCTTGCAAATCTTTTGGCTCAAGCCTGGAAAGTGTAGAGCATGTTTGAAGTTAGGGCCTGTTTCAGTCCCTCATCAACCCGCTTAGACAGGGCAGTTCTAACCACTGCAACTTCAACGCAATTGTACGGTAGGGTCTGCAGGTTTGGGGCGGCTCTCGCTCCCAAAGCTCCTACTATAGGGGCCTTAATTACCTATACTGTTTTGGGGGTTCTTTATAAGAATTATAAACTATAATGCACCCCAAACCCTATTCTAATTGTTAAGGCCCCTACATTACTACTGTGCTCTTTTTTCACAGCGGCGGCATCGCTCGCATGCCATGCAGCAAAGTGTTGATGTTCCCGGCGTTCTCACGGCTCTGCTAGTCGGTGCTGAGCTACCCGAGTCTTGACTGAGGTTTGAGAAGACTTAGCTGACTGCTTGAAAAATTGTACCTTTGGGACCTCCCCGTATTAGTGCCCTCCCCTAGTTGTGAGTCCTCATATCAAGGGCCCGAAACTCCAGCAGCCTTTGTGGGGGAAACGTTTTTTTATGTACTTTAAAAGAGGCCGGGCATACCAGCCGAACCCTCCGCATCGCCGGTCCTTCAAACCGAGACCCAAGACGTTTGAATCGAAAGATCTGCCAGGATCTTTACTGTGAGACTAGTGGTGAACATGAACTTTTAGTGCAATGCGCAGCTTGAGCGCCCAAGAATGCCATGTCCGGATTCCCACTGTTGCTGCAGTAAGTATCCCCTGAGAAGACTGTAGCGACATCACCGGCGAGCTCCCAGATCATTCGGAATCCAACGGCCGGAGAAACTTTGCACTATCGCGTGCCCACAGACTACCCACCACAAGACGGCCATGAGCCCGTGCCAGGAGTACAATTGGGTGTTGTTGGGAGGCGGACAACACATATCGGGATAGGTTCCGTGTAGTGCTGCGTGGTTTGCACATGTTTGAACCCATTCAATCTGAAGCGGCCGTGTGCTGAAAGGAGCCTAGGAGGACTGCCATCGAGAATGAGTAATACAGCAGTCCAGAAACCCTAAGCCCTAAACCCCAAACCCCAGCAACCTTAAGACGAGTCGGAGCATATCCTGCTCACGCATCCCCAATGTAGGGGCCTAAATAATTGCCGATACTATTTTGGGGGGGCTCCTCGTTATACTTATAGTATAATGGGCCCCAAAACCTTATTCTAATTATTAAGGCCCCTATAGTATACACCTAGACCCGACACCCTAAACTCCAGAGCCACTCACAGGATTGGCTCAGGTTACAGAATGCCAGCACTTGGCTTCGTGGGGCCGCTGCCCGGACTTACGGAAGATTTCAATCCTACAGGGGTTGGGGGTTTAGGAACCGTGATTAGGGTTTCAGCGTTTGGAGTTTGATGGTTTTATTGCGGTTCAGGGATCCAGGGCTTTGGGTTTAGGGTGGTGGGGAAGATAATTGCTGCAGCTGGAATCAGCAACAGTCTTCAGAGCATTGGAGTGGTTGGGAGGTGATTTTGAATGTGTCTCAGTGTCATGTCTTGGACCCAAAGAATCAAGACAGTACATGCCGAAGGTTTTCCTCATTAGCAGGCCGACGGAATCAGAAGGGTTTCGCCTAGATATTCGGGCTTAGTTTACGGAGTCGAAGCCTAGAGCTGTAAAGTTGTAAGCGGGTAACCAGGAAGTTGCAACTGAAAACCCTCAGAAGCAACCCCCACGGCGAGTGCCTAACGAACTCGCGGGAGCAGAGAGAGGGAAAGACACAAAGAAAGAGAGAAATAATCAAAGAACAAGAGAGACAGAGACACAGACCGGGCCCCAAACCCGTTTACAGCATTGTGGGTGTTCAGTATACCCATGAGTCAGCTAATTTGCTTGGGGTGTCTCGGTTTTATGACATGACAGTAACTTCGATTGTTCGAGTGCCAAAGACGACCACGTCGAGACTTGACACGGTCTAGAGCCCGAACTCGTTTTGTGGAGGCTGAGGGGGTTCCCCTCAGACCCTCAACCAAGCCACATCCCAACCCCTATGTAGAGCCCCTAAACCCTAAACCCTGAACCCTAAAACCCTGAACCCTGAACCCTGAACCCTAAACCCTAAACTCTGGAGCCTTGAAGAATCCTAAGCCGAGGTCCGGGCATCTCAGTCCGAGCTGCAAGTGCTGCGGCTTCTGCCCAACACGCCGCTGCCAAGTCTCTGTCGAAGCGGCGATGTCACGGGCCAATCGGCAATGAAGGGCTTATTTAGGTGTCTTAATAAATAATTTCCTAGATTATTTTTTGCAGGGGGTTCCTCATAATAATCCTCATAATAACTATGGTACTTGTATATATCTATATATATATATATGTATGTACCCCAAAGCGCTGTTCTAACTATTAAGGCCCCGACAGTAAGCATGTGCCTGGCCTTGTGCTTTGGGTTCAGAGGTCTTGGCTTCCGGGGTGTTGCCAGGGCCTCGCCCCACAGACTTTAGGTAGAGATCTTTAGCATCCAACTCCGTTTGGGTAGTTCTCTAAATGAGGGTCCTTTTTTTTGGTCCACAATATAGTACGGCACCCTTATAGAAAGGACCCGAAACGGTGGGATAATTTAGAAAACTACCCATATAGCGTTTGTAACATGGGTCATACGACGTGTGATCCAGCTTAGTGTGGTGCTGGGTGTGGGTATGAGCACCTGATCGCTGTGAACATGCTACTTGAACTTGAGAAGACCCTTGTTCTGTGTGGAGGCTTGTTCGTGGTTTTCCTGGGTGCCAATCACAAACTCCGCTAATCAGTCTCCCGTACTACTATTGATACCGTCAGATGGTAAATATGGGCCCTAAACCCTAAAACCCTAAACCCTAAACCGGTAACATTACTAAGGCCAGGCCTGCAGCTTCCAAATACGGCATGGCGTTTTCTGGTTTAGTTATGGCAGGTTGTATCATTTTCTTGCCGATGGCTCAGCACAATTCCAGTGAGTCGTAGATGTGCTGATAGGAATGGTATGCACTGATTCACCCCAACATGTACAACAACAAGACCATACAACCTCACCCCCCCCAGCTACCCAGCCCGAAGTTATGCTCTAATCGGGTCCAAACTGTGAAAGAGCCTAGCAGAGCAGTGAAAGCCTTTACAAGTTCAAAATCCAGGAGCACGCCCAATGAGTCCAGAATTCGCACCACTCCTTGGCAGCAAACGGATCGGCACTCCAGACCAGGCACCACACAGGCTGTGTCACACAGGGACTGTGGTGCGAAGAATATTTCGGCAGGCGGAAACACCAAACCAACACTTGCACTTGCACGGCACTGCGGCAGAAGCACGATTTCGTGAGGCGGAAGTGCAAGGGACTGCCTGCCAATTAGGACCTCTTCGGTCTTTTTGGAGGCCAAGGTGAGCACGCGACTGTGGCCGGACCACGATTCACCAAGTTGGCGAGCAGTGGGTGCGCCGACCGGGCTCGCGCGTGGACCTGACCAAATCATAAGTCCTTTTACACGTAACAACCCGAGAACCTAAAATTGGCGTCACCATGCCGTTTAGCCAGAGAGAAACAAGACTGCTCCCAATGCCCTAAACCCAAACCAGAAAGCAGCACTGACAAGACAAGGGCTGTGGGCCGGCCTGGCAGAACAGGAACTGCACGAGAGCCACTCGGAACGCAGATTTGGCGTTAGGTTTCATGATTTGGGGTTCTGCTTTTTCTTTCAAGCCGTGGACATGGCTGCTGCCGCGCACGTCCCCTTTCGGTTCAGGGGCCTGTGAAGTATAGGGCTCTAACACGGCCTCAAGTCTCGCTTGGGCTATTCGTTACTTTTGAAGGGTTCGTGGGTACACATAATGTATACGGGCAGTCACTAACAGTAACTGTTGAATTGGCTATAGACTGCCATAGACCCAAGGTGCGTGGAGCATCTCAATCGCTCAAGTCCTGCAACCCTTCCTTAAAGCTGCACTTCGGGCCTAGGCAGTCGGGGCCTCCGAAGTTTTTTTGGGGGGGGCACAAACATGTGGGAGCCCTACACCCTAAGCCCCTAAACCCTAAGCCCCTAAGCCCTAAACCCCTAAAACCTGAGCCCTAAAACCCTAAACCCTTAAACCCTAAACTCTAAAAGCACGAGCCGAGCCGACAGGTGCTGAGGAGCCGGGACCCGGTAGCCTGCTGCACGAAGCTCTGGGTGCAGCGTACGGCAATGAGCCCCGATGGATGATTGTGAGCTGTGGTTTAGGGTTTAGAGTTTAGGGTTTAGGGTTCAGGGTTTAGGGTTCAGGGTTTAGGGTTCAGAGTTCAGGGTGAGCTGTATAATATAAGCCCCGAAGCTCTCGGCCCCAAATCCCAGAACAACAATGCCTTCGAGCTGTGCTTGAAGAATGCCAGCCTCTAAATCAGCATCCACGTAGCCCCACCGCTAACCCAAAGACCTTCCCCACTCTCCGTATCCTTCATCCGACGTGCTCTCTTCTGACGGGTCTAAGAGCGAGGCCCGAAGTCACAAGGGTGTTCAAAAAGCATAGGCCAAAATAGTTACCCATGTGTCTTTTAAGAGTTCCTTGTTACATTTATAGTACAATATACCCCAAAGGCCGATTCTGATTATTAAGGCCCCTGTATTACATTGAAACAGTCTTATCCGAAACACGAAGAGTTGAACCTGAAGCCGTGAGTCTTAAACTGACTCCTCAGAGCCAATGAAGACTGTTCTAGAACCTCAGAGAAAGAATGAAAAAGCCCTGCCTCTCGGAAGCATTTTGTCCATGTTCTACTGTAGCTTCATAAAACACTGAGGCTGCGACTACATGCCCTAAACCCTCGAGAGGTTGAAAATTAAGAGTACATGAGTGTCGAAGATTCGTAGTCAGAGGGGATGGTGCCTCATACTGTGTG